TCTCCGTTCTCTGTCAGTTTTCTCACTCCATTTGGTGCTTGGCTGAGTTCTTTATCTCTTCATTTGATGTTTTAGAGTTTCAGGATTGTTCTATTCTCTGTTTGGCTTAGTTTTTAGGATCTGTGCTGTGGAGGGACAGCATGGTGCTTCTGCCTAGAGCGCCATTTTGCTGGAAACTTCCAGGTGCATTTTTATGAAACACAGTTTAATTACACCTCACCAGTGTCATCTTGGACCACTCCCCCCTTTTACTCTCAACACTTTTGCCACACAGACTCTAATAAGACACTGTGTTTGATACCTTGCAACAGAAAGAGAATTCCTTATCCTTTTGTACTGAAGGAATTTCCAGTGCTGGAAAGAACTGACAGTAGCGAGGCTGTAGAGTGTTATGATTAGGAGCCTAGCAGTTCAAGTCAGACAGATCTAAGTTCTAATCCTGGCTCCAACACTTCCTGAGACTTAACACTCTCTCAGGGTCAGTTTTCTCATCTGTAAAATGGAGATAATGACAGCGTCTTCCTCATAGGTCCTGTGAATATTAAATAAGAATAAAGTGCTTGGTCCTTTAGGGCCTTCATCATATTTTTGATCTGTCACTGATCAGATCAGGAAGCATGGACATAGAAGCTTCTTCCATGTATGGCTTGGCAATCAAAGATGTTCATGGTAACATTTTTAAATAGCAAAAATTGGTAACAATACTTGTTGTGTGCTGTTGAGCCAATTTTGACTTACAGCGACTAGATAATTGTTAAACAATTTATGATATAATTATAAATTGCATATTATTCATCAATTACAAATGTTTATAAAGAATTCTTAAATGCCATGGGAAAATATTCAAGATATAATCAATAATAGTATATATCTCTTCCAAACCAGAATAAATATAATATTAAATGTGTAAATATCTTAACAGACAAACAGATGGTAATGGACGAGAATATTTACAGTATTTATATCAGGGCGGTAAGATTATGGATGAATTTTGTTTTAATATTTGTATTTATTTTTTTCTAAATTTTCTATATGGAATGTCTTACTTTTATAGTCAAAATTAAATGCAATACAAATTATCTTAAAAAACACACACACAAAACCCAAAACTATGCTAATCATATAAAGCTTAGCTTATCAGAAAAGAAGAAAAACTGTTGGAAAAGTTTTGAGAAAGACACTGACCGAGGAGCCAGAAGAGGACAGTGGGGTCTGGAGTCTGCCATGCCAGTGGAATGCCCCATCCACTGAAGACATGGCCCAGGGGAGAGGGGTGCAGAGTGTGATTATAGGCCTTGGGGTTCCTGCTGTGGATCTTTCTTCCATGGCCTAGGCCTTCTTGTTGTTGTTAGTTGCCGTTGAGTCAGTTCCAACTCATGGAGACCCCATGTGTGCAGAGTAGAACTGCTCCAGCGTTTTCAAGTCCTTAAACTTTCAGAAGCAGATCGCCAGACCTATCTTCCAAGGTGCCCTGGGAGAGTTCGAATCAACACTGTTTCAGCTAGTAGTTGAGCACTTAACACTTTGCGCCACCCGGGGACTTCTTAACCCTTAATAATTCCTTGTGGGACATAGACATCATAAGATACCAAGGGGCTTTTGGTTACCTTACTGTCTTCCTAAGAACATATGATTTTTTTTAACTTTCTCTTTGCCTAGGGAACCTCCTCTAGATACTCAGCTGGCTGAGTGCTTGCAAGTGGGGTGTATTTGCCTTAGCTCCCAGAAATGAGTTGGGGAGGGCTTGACCTAAACTAAGCAGTGTGTGCTAAATGTTCCATAGGGCTACCTTGCACTCAACACAAAAGCTAATTTCCTAATGTTTATGACTCCTTTAACCTCTGATATAAATGTTTCCCAACTCCTCAATATAATTTTTATCATTGTCCTTTCGTCACAGTCTATCCCCTTCCTATGAAAGACTTTCCTCCACAAGAGGTGTTATTCCTCTTTTCAAGTTTTTAAGTTCCTGCTGAATTTCAAGCTCTATTTTTCACAACTTTAATACCCATCAACAGAGAAGAATTCTCACAAGCCCATTATATAGTGGCCAACACTCTTTTCCAATGACAAGAAAAGGTATGCCTTTAAAAGAAGAGGTAAAAGTCTAAAGTCATCAAAATAATGTAATATCCTGTGTGAAATGTTTGCAGTCACGGTGCCTGTGGTTTGTGTGCCTTGATCATGTGCCTCAAGAGAGGTTAAGTTGGGCCGTGGATGACTGCGCCTCTCAGGCTTCACCCGCATTATTTTCAGCTCCCCTTGCTCTCTGGGCTTCATAGGGAGGAGGGGCTGGAGCCCTGGCCCACAGTTAGGACAATGATCCTCAGGCTGTTCCTGGCTCTCAACTTCTTCCCCTCCATTCAAGCAACAGCAGGTAAACAATTTTGATTACTTTCCTTCTCTAAACTTTCCTTTTGAGGTCTTGCCATCTGGCTTGGTTTATTTTAAATGTCAAACAATCTGCGAAATTTGGACATTTGAAGTGTAGTTTTGCTCTAATATGGCAGCCCATTATATAGAAACTCACAGGTTTTCAGACTGCAGTATGGACTTCAGCACATGTCCTTTGGAATTAAAGATTTATTTAGTTATTAGCTGATAGTGTCTCAGCAATTTTTAGCTTATAGTTTTCTTTTTTTTTTTTAATTTAAGAAAACTGCTACAAGTACGTTGGTTGTAAAAGCTCTGAATTTAGACTGCCTGGGTTCTTACCACAGATTCATTTCTTACAAGCAGAATTTGTGCTAGTATTTAAATTTTCTAAGCCTCAGTTTCCTTATCTACAGAATGGGAACGATAGTAAACCCCATTTACCGTCATTGTGAGGATAAAATCAAATAATCCATGCTTACTTAGCTCAGTCAGTGCCCAACTGAGCAAGATACATGTTGTAATTGCTATATCTGCCTGAATTGAATGAGTGCGAAAATGAATTTTGGAGTCACTACAGAAGCTGGTACAATACAAATGCTAATAAATTCATGTTCTTTTACAATTGGCAGAAATCTGTTTTCTTAAATTCCGCTAAGTTCCCAATGATGATGATATATCCAATACTTAGTTAGAGAGCACTTACTTTGTGCAGCACTCAATTCCTACAACTATAAGGTAGGTATTATAATTAACCCCACTTCAGATGAGGATACTGAGGGGTAGGGACATTAAATAATTTGCCTAAGGATATGCAAGTACTAGGTGTCAGAAGCAGGGTTCAAACTATGTTAGCCTGACTCTAGAGCCTTGTTCTTGACCATTATGCTACCCCACCTAACATGATGTGGTTTGTGATTTCATAGAAGCAGATAAATTCAGGATTATATCATCTTCTGAAAAACACAATTCCAAAGAGAAAGAGCTTGCTACTTTGTTGGGTTGAAGTAAGGTGCTTGTTCAACTTGTTACTAGAGTTAGAAAAGGGTCCCACTTGGCTCAAAAATTGGACTGATAGGCATCAGCTGGCATGTATTGAATAACTATAATTATTTTTCCGTTAAAGATGCATTGAAAGGCCAGTATTTTAAATTTTCTTTGTCATTTATTTTAGCAGTGCAGAGACTGCATTTTTTGGTTGTTGTTCTTAAACATCGTATGCATGTGTTCTAAAGAGTATAATTTCCCAACCTGCAGAAGTACAATAGTTACCTATATACCTATTTATTTCATCTGATGTGCCAGTGAGTAAGTACATTGACAAATTGTATGTACTTATTGAAAGCTGTTCATGTAGTGTGAGACGTGAGCTAGTAATGAGATAAATTATGCCCCAGTATCTGGTACCAAGCGCTTAGAGCTACAAAATATTTTTTAAAAGAATCTTAAAAATTTATTTTAAAATAGTTTTTAAACTTTATTTTAAAGGATCTTCAACCTTTATTTTTAAATAATCTTTAAAATTTCTTAGTTTATTTAAACAGTAAAAGATGGCCAGAAAGGAAAGGGAAGCCTCAGCCTGACTGAAAACTATTTAAGACTGGTAATTGTGCACAGATTACTTTTTTGGACATGTTTTGTGTAGAATCATCTGCCGTCAATTCATTTACTCTCTTTTGAAGTTTTTTTTTGTTGGTAAAACTCAAAGGTTTATATTTTTTATTTAGGACATTTATTAAAAGGGGGATAGCTAAAAATCCGTTGGCGTGTTCACACACGCAGAGCCTTTGTTTTCTACTTTGTGGTATGTCTAATTTTCAAATGTTATTTCATCCCTGTAAGAAATTTTAAGATTTAATGCAAAGTGGCCATCTAATGAAGTAGGAAATGGGAGAGAATTGACAGGGGTACTTCTGAAATGCCTCTTCCAGTAAGAAAACTGATGAGAAGGAAAATAATTACAACCTACAAAAATGTATGAACCGTTCTAAGCAAATGGTGACGAGCCTTCCACGTGCTTTATGTCTCTCTCTCTTTGTATTCACTGTCCATGAAGAGATTATAGATAAGGAAAGTCTCTGGTCAAAGTGTAATCGTCCTCCCCAGGATTGTAAAAATCTAATGTTACTAACGTTATATCTGTGCTGATATATATGTATCTGTATATATATACACAATTATTTCCCATTAATTTAATAATTCCAGCTCACTGATTCACAACAAAGCTGAAAATACTTTATTCTATGAAGGTTAAGCTTAACCTGATTCTTCATGATTTTGATGATGCTCTAGAACGATCTTTACAGCTAATTAAAGAAATATGATTTAGGAGAAGTGAGGAAAATTTAACTCAGAAAATTCCACCACTAAAGTTACATGTTTTCTACCAGACTTGCATAATTGTACAACTGAGAACCACTAGAGATGATTTGATAGGACTTTGGAACATGAATCCTACTTGGGATAGCAGGCCCTCGACAGGGAAACGATCAGTGATTGATGACAGAAGGAGTGTGTACAAAATACAGGCATAGTCCACGTGTTTTTCAGCCAATATTGGTTATTTTTCAGCAAGCTAACTGTCCAGTATAAAGACAAAATCAAAACAATGTCACTTATTTTTCCAGTGGGAGCATTTCTTTTCATTTCTCCTCAAACCTTAGCAAATAAGCTGTTAAATGACCAGCCTGGACATGATTGATTTTCATTCCCCTTCATTCCCCTCAGCACCGCTTTTTCTGAGAGAGGCACAAAAGGCAGGAAAATGACTGGTATTTAATAAACAGTCATCAGCAAACCAAGGTAATTAAAAACTTCATTTTTAATTCAGCCTTCAGCAAAGGACCCCTCTGAGGTAGTTGTACACAGAAAGAACTAATT